GGGTCACAGTTATCGTCCATATCAAAAGAACTAATTCAACGACTAAACTTAATAGAAGCTGATGAACAAGAATTAAAACTAGCTTCTTTCGGCATTAAGAATCCTAAGCCACGCATAATCACTCAAACTTAACTTAATATAAAAATTGATGCAGATGAGACCATCCAAAATGAGACCATCCAAGCGCCAATGTAATCGAATATTTAACTAATAAATTACATGTTGTCAAAATACCAATAGCCAACCATACAATGAATCTAAAAAATTATTGGAAACGACCTGACATCTTAATCGGAGCAGATCATTTCTTTAAATTTGTGGAGTTGGAAAGGTTTGAAAAACTAAAATCAGGACCCCCACTACTTCACACAAAAGTTGGACCAATGATTGTTGGAAGTGGTGATGTAAATCAATTGTGTCAAAAAGGTAGGATGCATATTTTTAACACAGTAACCACTTTAACCATAGCATCCTATGATTAGATTATATAGGAGATAGAAAATTTCTGGAAACTGAAAGTTATGAGAATACAAGGAGGACCTAATTTCAATGACGATGAAGAGGCACTAAAGCAATTTAAGAAATTTATAACAAAATAGAACAACAGATATCAAGTAAGATGGCCATGGAAAGAATCAAAGGACAAGTTGAGTAATAACTTTAGATTATGCTTAGGACGTTTAAAAAATCTGGTCAAGCGACTGCAACAAGAATCAATTCTTAGCCTATATAATAATATAATCGAAGAACAGAAACAACTGGATATAATCGAGGACATAGACACCAATATGAAATGGTGAGCATCATACACTATTTACCACATCAGGGAGTATTAACAAAAATACTGCGAAACTAAAAGTAGTGTATGATGCTTCAGCACACTTTCATGGAAAGAAAAGTTTGAACAAAGTCTTATATAGGGGCCCAGCATTGCTACCGGACTTAGTCGAAGTACTATTAAGATTCCGAATGATGGGAATAGTAATAGTTGCCGATATTGAAAAAGCATTTTTACAAATAGAATTACATCCGGAGGATAGAGATTCTATTAGATTTCTTTGGTTACAAGATATTACCAAAGATGTCACTGAAGAGAGCATAAAGTGTTATAGATTTAAAAGAGTTTCCTTCGGAGTCATCTCATCATCCTTATTATCGGCTATGTCGGAAAACTAAAAGAATTTATTATACATTAAATGCTTAGAATATTTCTAATGATTCATCACTGCATTCATTCACCAATTTACATTCTTTAAAATTATCTCCCACACGTTTCTTTTGTTATCTTTGTCTAACAAAAATTCGCATCTTTATTTCAATGACAAAGGATGTCCAATTTACATGCTAACTTTCCCATCTGATCTTGTTACAACGCTTATTATGTAATTGGATCTTTACAGTTTTCTTTGTATCTAAA